TTCCTAAAATCTACGTCACCATGTTGTATGGCGCATGCTCTACTAATGGTTAGGGGTCTCTCATCCTTTAGAGGGTCTTATTTCCAATGAAGGCTCTCTGTCTTCATCAGTGTCCCCTATGTAACCTCACAGGCAGTGCAAGTGCACTAAGCTTGGGTTATATAACTAAGCATAGGTTCCCACAACAAAACCCTATTCATGCCTGGAATCATCCCAATTTGGCCCATTCCAAGGTCGAAACTTTTATTTCTAGATGCTGCTTATCAGACCTATGTCCTTCTACTACTCCCTTCTAACATCGTACTTCGACTCCCTTCCAACATCTGGAGGATGTCCTCTGCCCTGTCTCACCCATCTCCCCCCCCATTCTGTAACAATTATCTTCTATTGATCTAAGTACAATTTTGCTAATATAGTTACAATTTAATTAGCACGAATCACATTTTGCACAGATAACGATTAGATATTGCTGTGCACTTTTGTATACTGCTTCCATTCTTTTAATTTTGCTACTTAAAATATAAGTGAACTGCAGCTGAAAGATATTTAAATCTTTGCAGTAAGAACTGTTCATTAGAACTGTGTTGGTATTGAGGAACTCTCACTGTGTTTGGGAGCTGATTATACAACTAATCATTTGCTGAGAAGAACATACATTAGAGTTGGGGTTTTATTATTAGCATTAGGTAGCCATGTGCTTTCTAGTTTTTAAATATTAGGCTCACTGCATCAGAAGCTTTCTGGATCAAATCTGTATTAATCAGATTTAAACCTCTTACATGAAAATTTTGATTTTGGTTTTCTGCCTGATCCTTTAGTTCAATTGGTTGTATATTGGGCACACTGGGTTTTAAAAAAAGGCTAAGTGTTATGTACATCTTCTGGAGTGACATGAAAATATGTAATAGTAGAAAATTAATTATTTATTTATATTTTTCTATAGTATTTCCTTAATTAACAATCTGAGTGTGTACTATACTCACATAAGTATCTTGTATTCCACTACTATAAATGAAAACACATTTCACGTGCCTGCCAAAATACATTTTTTGTAGCAAATTTCATTCGATTCGTGAGGAAGGAGAGGGGGTGGGGTGACTTTGTACAGTAGGGAGTGTTTCAACTGTATAGAGCTCAAGGATAGTGATGTCATAAGTTTGAGTCTGGATGAGTAGGAATCAGGGAGATGGCTAACAAGGCAGCTACTCTGGTGGTAGCCTGTTCAAGACAACCTAACCAAGAAGAAGAGACAAAGCATTCTACAAGCAACTGGAGGATATCTCATGATCACTGGCCCTTGTTATTGTGGGGGACTTTGCTTTACTTGCTGGATCTCTGTTGGAAACAGCACAGCAGAGAGGAGGCACTCTAAGAGATTCCTGGCCTGTGTGGAAGACAATTTCCTCACACAAGATGGTGTGTGTGAGCCAGCGAGGGAAAAACCCACTGTTGGTGAATAGAGAAGGATTGGGGGTGATGTGGAATCTGCGGCTGTCTTGGGCATAGCGACCATAAAATGATAGCTTTCAATTCTTGGTGAAGGAAGAGAGGACATTAACTAAACTTCTGCCTTCGCCTGCTAGAGGGCAGACTTCAGGACAGTGGTTCAGAGAGCCCCTTGGGAACCAGTCCTTAATAATAAAGGAATCCAGGAAGGCTGGACATACTTTAAGAAGGAAATCTTAAAGGCACAAGAGTGCCCCATCCCTATTTGCCAAAAGACAAGCCAAAGGGGGCAAGGAGAAAGACTGGTCTGGCTGAATAGGGGGCTTCTCCTGGAACTCAGGCTAAAAAAGAGATTTTATAACCTTTGGAAGAAGGCAACTTGGGAAGTGTACAAGGATGTTGTTAGGTCATGTAGAAAATTAGAAAGACAAAAGTTCAGCTAGAACTCAAGCTGGCCACTCCTGTGAAAGATAATGAAAAGAGTTTTTATAAAAAAATTAACATCAAAAGGAGGATCAAGGAAAATCTTCAAACCTGATTGGATGTAGAGGGAAATACTGTAACCAAGGGTGAGAAAAAGGCTGAGGTAGTTAATGTCTGCTTCACCTCAGCCTTCAAGAAGACAGTTATTATCAAGGCAATCAGCCCTCTGAGCTGGTAAACGAAGACAAGGAGCAGAATTGACCTCCTCTCCAGGAGAAGTTAGTGACCCACTGAGCTGCTTAGACACTCAAAAGTGTAGAGGGCCAGATGGAATCCATCCAAGGATACTGAGGGAGCTGGGGGAAGAGCTCACCAAGCCACTCTCCATCATTTACCAATGGCCCTGGCTCACCTGGAAGGTCCCAGTTGACTGGAGTGGAGGTTGGCCAATGTCATACCTATCTACAAGAAGGGTTGGAAGGTTCTGGGGAGCTACAGGCCTGATGTTGGTGTCTGGCAATGTTATGGACAGATCATCTTGAGTGCTATAATGCAATCATATGGTATGTGCAGGACATCCAAGGGATCAGGCCTATCCAGCATAGTGTCAGAAAAAGTAGGTCCTGGTCACCAACCTGATCTCCTTCTATGACCAGGTGACTTGCTATGTGGATGAAGAAAAGGCTGTGGATGTTGTCTCTCTGGATTTTAGTAAAGCCTTTGATACTGTCTCCAATGCCATTCTCCTGGAAAAGCTGGCAGCCCATGGCTTGGACAGGTGCTCTGTTCGCTGGGTAAAAATTTTTGGGATGGCTGGGGGAGGGTGGTGATGAGGGGAGTAGTATCCAGCTGGTGGCTGGTCGCGAGTGAGCTTCCCCAGAGCTGTGTACTGGGGGCACGTCTGTTTGGTATCTTTAGCAATGATCTGGATGAGTGGATTGAGTGTGTATCCTCAGTGTTGCAGACAACACCAAGTTGGGTGTGAGTGTTGGTCTGCTGGAGCACAGGAAAGAAGGGATCCAGGCAGGCTGGATTGATGGAATGAGGCCAGAGGTGTGAGTTTCAATAAGGCCAAATGCAAATGTTGGTTCATAGCTGGGGCAGATGGAAGGGCACTGCCCTGCCTTTCCTGTTCATGGTTTCAGGTTTGGCATCAGGCTATGCAAATAACTAAGGGACACAAGGAATGCTCTCACACCCTTCCTGGGAATCCTTTCTATTGTAGCACAGGCAAATAAGAGAACAAACAATTTCAAAGATGAGGAGAAAGAAGATTTCACTGCAGTCAAGATTGTGATGGGAACCTACAAAAACGCTGCTGGTGTTAGAAATCAGAACTGGGGTTTAACTACTTAGAGTTGTGCTGAAGATTAATATGACCATAATTGTTTCAGAGCTGTTTCAGAGCTTCTATCAGTTTAAAGATGAAATTATCATGTGCTTTTTCTACTTTATTTTCTCAGTTGTTGATTTTTAATAAAGTTTCTGGTAATTGTTGTTTTCTAGTGATTTCTATCAAGTTATGAAAAGCAGTTTACTTTGGCCACATATACATGCCTGTAAAATACATTTTTAAAAACAATCCTATAGTTTGAGGCAATTTTTGTCAAAAGTCAGTGTATAATCTCATTGCTACAATAACTTAAAACTTGTGGAGGAAACTTCCAAAGAAAATCCAGAATCATATGCAGGAGCTACAAACACTTGCCAGCATTCTTTCTAATGATAACTAAATACAATTTTGTAAATTTACTTTTTTACCTAATTAATTGAAAGAACAATTTTGGTTGCGTTGGTAAGAGGATTTCAAAGTTGCAAACCGGTGATTTAGACATTTAGATGTCAGGCAGTAAGAATCTACCCATCACTTTTCTCTCAAAACTGCAGGCGCGGAGTAACTGCGCGGACCTCCAGGGTATTTCCACTCGTGCGCTTGTACGCTGAGGCCATTATCTGTCGATGTAGAGATGACATTTTGTTTTATTAATTGGTGGATACTGGTTTTTACTGGCCTCGAGCCCCGCCGGCGCCGCGATTAAACCGCGCTGCGGAGCGCCCGCTCTGTCCGCAGCGCGGGCACCGCGAAGGGACCGCGCCTCCCGGTGCCCGCCGCACCCCGCTTCCTCACGGCGGGGATCTCACCGGCACGCACCAGGCTGATCTAGGGCCGCGCTGGGCGGGCGCTGTCGACCACGTACGGCGCACGGACCTTCCAGCCGAGGTCCTGGAGCGTCCGCCCGCCCGACCGCCCGATCCGCCGCCCGAGCCCGCGCCTCGGTTTGAGCGCCCCGCGCCGGCGCTCGGCGCTCCGTGCGCTTGCGCCGGCGGGGCTGCGCCGCTGCACGGTTAATTACGGCGGCGCCGGGGACTCCCGCTCGCGGGGGCGGGGCGCGCTCTGGGGATTCCCAGTCCCGCGCGGAACGTTCCGGACGGCTCCCGTGACGTCACGGCGGGGCCGGTACCGGGGGCCCGCCCCTCCCCGGGATCGCGCGCGGGGGGTCTCGCTAAGCTTGCGCGCGCGCGCGCGGGGGGAGCACTGCGGCGCGGAGCGGCGCCATTTTGAGAGAGCGAGGCGTGCGCGCGGTGCGCGCGCGCGGGCGGCTATAGCGCGGGCTAGTCAGGACACCCCGGGACAGCCCCGGGAAGGGGCGGGGAGCGCACACCGAGCGGCCGGGCCGCCACGCTCCTTCCCCCGTGCTGCCCGGACCGCCCTCGGGGACGGCACGTGAGCCGCTCCCGGCGGCGGGAGCGGGGCGGCCCCCGGGAGGGCGGAGGAAAAGCACTCGGCGGAGGCGCAGCTGGAGGTCCTGCTCCCCCTGAGCGGGTTGTGTGTGTCCGCACGCCCCGGGGCGGGCGGTCTGTGTATCCACGCACGCCGAGAAAGAAAGCATGCCCTGGGCAGCGCTGGGGTTCCCGCGGCGGCTCCCGCCGCCCCCCCGGCAAATGTCCCTGGCCCAGGTTAGCGCTCGCCGCTCGGCGCTTTCTGTAGGTCGGCTCAGCTTTCCCAATAAAACGAGAAATGACCTCTTCTTTTCCGGTGTTCCCCCTCTTTCCTCCCAGCCCCCACTGCCGTCCCCCCGCGTTCCCCCCCGGTCTGTTTTTCTCTCGGGATGAGAGGCAGGCGGAGTTTTCGCTGATAGGCTGCGCCCTCCGTCAAACATTGCTGCCGCCCTCTCCGGGTGTGAGTGGAGGTGTAACCGAGGCTTCCGTCCCCGGGCTCGGCTCCCTCGCTGCATCCGTGTTTGCTCTTAGGATCCAGGTTTCTGTTTGTGTCTTGTTTTTAAGATTCAGGTTTTTGGGTTTGGTTTGTTTTGTGTTTGTCTAACGTCAGTCCAGATTTCATAAGGGAAAACTGATTTTTCTGTTTTTTTTTTTTTTTTTTTTACCGTAGGTGGCTTGAACGACAGAGTCAGTCCTGAATGTTTGCAGCCTTTTGCTTCAGATGGCAGAGAAAAAAAAGGTGAACACTGACCTGCAGCAGTTGCTTTCTGTGGAAGGGAAGAAATATCGGACACTGTTCTGGTATTATGTGTGCGTGCTTCATCTTGAAAAGGTCTCTGAAACAATCAGTAGACATTTAGGAAGAGAATTGAGGAAGTCGTGAGGTTTTTTTCTTCTAGCAGTGTCGAGCACATCACCCTTGGATTCTTTTGTCCGTATGGCATGGATACGTAGCTAAATTTATGAAGTTCTTAATACTTCAGCTGCCAAAATAAAGTGCTTTCCTCTTATTACATACTCTTTTTCTTCTCGGCAACATTCTTTCTGAGTCAGAGGCATAACCAGTTTTGTTAACTGGCTCCAGTTAAATGTGGCCTGAGTCACTGTGGAGACATTGCTGAAAAGTTTCATGGCAGAATTTTTCCCCCCCTTATTTAATTTTTTAAATTTCCTGACGCAGTCTTCTCTCATTCTGCAGTGAGACTGATTTTATAAATGAAGAATTTAATAGATGTTTATCTTTTTTTCTTTTGTACTGTATTTAATATTTCTGTTGAAAAATGTTGTTGCCAATTAGCAATATGGAAGTATCCAGATAACTGTTTAGAAATGCCTCTGCTACCAGAAGGTAGGAAATGTTCTGCAGTTCATGTGTGAAATTTGGGTTTTTGGCTTAACATTTGTGGAGTAAAACCTCTATTTATTTCACTTGGAGCTGATGCTGCGTATAGTAGTGTCTATGGAATAGACAAGAGAAGAAACTGTCAGAGAAAAGCTTTTTAAGACAGACATTGGCAGACTTTGTAAATGGCCTTGCAGGATCTGTAAGCGAGAAGGATGGGTAGCTGATTTCTGTGAGGTCAAATCTATGTCAAACTGCTGTGAATGTAGTATCAACAGGAACTTGGAATTTTATCTCAAGGAAAACAAACTGGAAAAATATAAATCACGCAGTACTAACACCCTGTGCAGTCCTCTTGGATTAGGTAAGTGTTGTAGTGTTCATAAATCAATTTACACTTGGAAAAAACATTTTTTTCAGTAGAAGAGTTAAACCAGTAATTTTTACTGGTTAGAGGTTCTTTGGGTCGGGTTGTTTTGTGGTTTGGTTTTTTTTTTTTTTTTTTTTTTTGTTTGTTTTTTGAGAATGTTAAATGTTGAAGCTTGTTAATTTTTACTTGCCGGCTTTTATAATTAATGGAATAGTTCCTTAAGAATTTGAAGAATACAGGTACAAGGAGAAACGTGTAGGTAAGAGTGTAATTCTTATATGAGATTAGAAACTAGCTATAGCTAGACCAAATCCATGAGGAATTTAGCCTTCATGTTAATATTGTAATCTCAGCAGTGAATGTTACATCCTTTTGACCAAGTCTTGTGGATAGCTTGCATGTGTCAGTCCTTCTATTTGTGCTAGATGTATTTGCAGCATCAGGGTAGTAATAATATAGAGGGTTATTTACTCTTTTTTTTTTCTCTTTCCACTATTCTTTCTCACGTATGAAAGCCACAGGTTTTTTTTACTGAAAATTATTTCACTGTCTCTACAGCCTAGCTTTTTTCTGTGTTGATATTTTAAGATTGACTTCAGTGTATTTTCTTATTCTGTAAAAGGAATTAATTAATCTGACTGGTCTGCAAGTATAACACTTCAAAAAAAGCTCTTTCTCCTTGGAATGATTCAAAATTAAATCAAGTGGTGAATTGGCTTATCTTCCTTGTTATTTTTATATGTACTGTGTAGTTTCCTTCATCCCACAGTGAATAAATATTTTTTAATTTTGGCATTAATGTATTTATAATAATTTTTTGTAGGTTTGCATTCAACTGAACTGCTGCTGCCTGAAAGAAAATTAAGATGGACAGAGCAACTTAATTCAAAAGTCAGTGGTAATTTTACTGAAGTTCTCTATCCCCTACCCCACCCTGATGATTCGTAAATCTTTAAATAAGTAAAGCATTATTGGGTATACTTTAAACTATTGTCTGTTAGAAGTTACCCATTTATCTCAAGTTGTCACCTTCTAAAATATTTTTGAGAGCTTCGATATTGAAGTATTACTAGTTGTGAATTAATGAAAAAAAGAAAGTTTTCTCTAAGGGCAGTGCAAAGATGTTTGGAAGATTGCTTGTGTTAAAAACCATGTAGAAAAAAGGGTAGTTAAGCATGTGAAACTGTCTTAAGAATTTACTGCAGTGTATTTTAACTCCTGTAGCTTGTTATTTTGACCACAAATGAAGGACTTGCATTTACATAAATTTTGTAAATTCTTGGTCTCACTAAACTCCTTATCTGTGTGTTGTCAGTATCTAAAAGTTGAACTAGCTTCAGTTTTGTGCTTTGGATGGTTTTGCCGTTTTTGTTATATTAACTCCTCTTCCAGTTCTGTTGTTTTGAAAACATGGACACTCAGGGACATGAGTAGGGAGCTGTTTCTGTAATCTCTGGCTATGGCTTGTAGCTCTTCTGTATTGAGTCTAGGTGTGCCTAGGATTGACTGGTGAGCTGAGCCACTTGTTAAGGAGCCAAACCAATAGAAAAGAATGATCTTGTATATTCATTTACTTCTATGAGTATGCTTTTTTTGAAAACATTTGATGGAGAGTTCAGGTGTGAGTAGCCCTTTGATTGTTGTCTGTTGTATGCTCATGAAACTAATAGAAATATTCACTTCTTAACTCATAGAAAAAGTGATGTGTTGCTTGTTTTTCCAAGCTATTAATTTTCAATGCTGTGAGATACTTCTATTTCTTTTCAAGATGCTCTCACTGAAACCAAGGAGCTACATCCCCCACTTACTATTTTGGATTGCATCTTTTTCTGGACTTTTCCTTCTGGAAGTTTTGAGGAGTTTGCTTTTTAACTTCATTAAATTAATTCTCTCTTTATACCTCCCTGTTTGCTGGTAGGATAGTTATTTTATTCCTTTCACAGTACTTAATCTTGGGAAGTTGTAGTGTTCCACACTTAAGGGGAAGGGAACACCCAAGTTTCATAAGTGTTTGTGGTTTGAAGGGACAACAAAAGTTGGAGGGTCCCCAAAAATCACCAGGTTTTATACATAAATTCAACATTTGACATTGAAATGGGAATGTCAGTCCCTGGCCTAAAATATAAACACACAGCTTACATATTAGGGATAGGGTAGAAGGGAAGAGATGCATTAAAGAGAGGGAGAGAGAGAAAAAGAAAGAAAGAGAGGAAGAGATCACCACCCTGTTTCCTAGTGTTGGTCTGGCTGATGAGATGTCCTGAGGTGTGCAGCCAGGGCTTGGTGGGGTACTTTTTTATGGATAATTTCCTCGTCCTGAAGCTAAGGTTTTAATTTTCTGTGTAGATCAGTTACCTCGCATGGTCCATTCTTTGAGGCCTTTCTGGAAACGGCTTGGGGGGTTTTGGGGGGTCCCTAGTGATCTCATTATCCCCCTACTGCATTGGCCTTTGGTCAACAGTTCATGCCTGCTTCTGTGCTGCTGCTGTCTTTTGTTTGTTGTGTCTCCGTGGACTAGAATGTGGATGTTTATCCCAGAAGAGTGCTGTCCTACCTCTGCATGGCCCCTTCTCCAGCCACATCCCATTTACCACCAGCTGTTGGTTGGCTCTGCAGTCATCCAGCTGTCGGTGTTTGAGATATACACATTAGCCTATTATCCTCAGGGATTCTATAGAAGTGTGTTTTTTTTCTTACTTATGTGCATAGGTTTTTGACAAAAATTCAGGAATTTTTACCTACTGAGGAGAAAGTGCCGAGCATGCTGGTCCACTTTAATTTCTTCCCTAGATTTTTGTTTTTCAAGTGTTTACAGTCTGTTAAATTGTCTTTGCAGTCATTACTTCATTATCTATGAAAATAATGCCCTTGCTCCTAAGAGTTTCTACTTTAAGCCAAGATGTAAACATAGCTTTTGTAGTGGGGTAACTGTCAGCAGGTTGTGTCTTTTACTGAAGTGTTTATTCTGGTAGGTTCATAAAATATATACATTTGTACTGGCTAATTCTTTAGGATGCTGCAGGATGCTCTACTGTGTGAAAAAACTGTTGGTGGAAACTTTTGAGAATAAGTACCCTTTAATCTTGCAGTGAAGCTAAAACAGAATTACACTGGTAAAATGATCAAGGCAAATTGTACAGATATTTAACATGGTATAAGTTAATGTACTTTGTTCCCCTTTTATTTTGTCCTCCATTCTAATGAGTTTATTCTGTTTAACATGTGTGGATAAAAATGTTACGGTGACAGCTCATCAGTAACATGTGAGGAAGTTGCGTTTATTTCTACTTTTTTTTTAGTAGTAGGAGTAAATTCTGTTCTGCAAAGACAGCTATTTGCAGACCTCATTATAAACAGATGTGAATGAAACTTTGCACACTTTTTGTTTTGTTTTTTTCTTACTCTGTGTTTGAATAACTGAACATGGTAACTGATGATAATGCCCTATGTGGTGCTATCAACTCTTCCACAGGCTCCTCCTTTTATGTCTTGGGTAAACACAGTCAGGAAAACAGCTGAACCAGTGAGTTGTTTATCTGCTTTATATGCTCAGCATAGGACAAAACTTCTACCTTTTTCAACTGCTACTTCTTCCTTGTGACAATTCCAAAGTGCTAAATAATTCTTGATGATTTCCTACATAACATATGGTGACTAAGGCAATGATGTAATTGAACTCACACTTCAGATTTTGAATTTGGACCTTGTTAAAGGGTAAGAAATGAGCATCGATCAGGCTTTTGCTAAATCATCAGTACCTTTTAGTGGAATCATTACACAGCAAAGCATGTTAGACTCTCTAGTAGAAACCTGGCTGTATTTTATCGTCAAATGTAAAGTTATTTCATGTTACGAATTAGTTTGTATCTTTTTTTTTAATCTACATTTTGGTACAGTGCAAAAACAAAAACTTCTTTTTGTTCAGGTCCCTTTCTTTTCCATTGAAGGTATGACTCTTAAGCAATAAATTTTAGAGAGCTAAAAAACTTGAGAGCATTACCATACCCAAACCTAATATTTTTTAAAAATAGTTTTTCATGGAAATGCCACAAGGGGTGACATGACACTCTTTCCCTGCAGAGTGTTAAAAGTTTCACTATAAAGATGTAAACTTACTCTGTTGTTGTGATTGTTCATTTACAAATAGAAGAGAAAAAGAATCTTCAGTTCAAATGTTTGTCATGCTTTTGCAGCAATTTATGATCAGTAGAAATGCTTCCAGTTTCAAAAACTCATAAAGCTTATGTAAAGGATTTTTGAATATTATTTTCTGTTTTATTAACATGCAAATTTTGGATAGCAGAATAACTTGAAATTAGGTTATTTTGAGTTGTTGGAACTACATGAATCACAGAATAGTAAGCAAGATACAGAATAAACTGCTTTCAAAAGGGGAACAAAAACTGAGGTTTATTGATTTTAAATAAAAGTGTTGTTTAGACTTTACAGTTAGCAACTTGATTTCAAATTAGTTCTACTCTTAACTAGAGATAGCAGAGAGGGATAACAGAGAAAGGTCTAGTATCACAGGAAGTTTTTCTTTTGACAGATGTGTTTTATGGCAGAAGAAAATACTTCTGATGGCATGGGTTACTTTGAAGGTCTGCTTAGTTTGAAAAAAGTCCTGAATGATTCTGTATATGAAGAAGGAGTGTGTAGGCTGATGGCTGGGTCTTGGGCACATAGTTTCATTGCCTAATTCAGACCAACACTTGGTAGTTTTCCTTTGGCTCATGATAAAGAGTTGAAGCCAAAATTTGAAGCTAGCCCATGATGGGAGGACTGAAAGGCCAGTATTCTTTTTGTACCCTCTGAAATTCATATGTATGCTCTTGTTTGTCTTCTGATGAAATAAGAATGTATGCTGGAGCTCCTTATCAAGGAAGCAAAGCAGTAGAGGCAAATTGAGATGCTGTGTATAACCTTTTCTTTCCTATGCTCTCATAACAATATTATAGTGTGCTTTAATTCTCATAGCTTACAACCTTCTTGTACCCCATTTATAAATACTATGCTAAAAATTACATTAACGAAGTGAGAGTGGTTTGTCAGATGTGTATAGTTGAGAAGTGGAGTTAAGGGTCCCCTGTGTAATTTGTGGTGTGCTGTACTTACTGTGATAATAATCTGTGAGGCATTGGATGAGAGCTCATAGGAATGTGCCTCCTAGATATGCATACATACTAATTTTAGATTCCCTTGGAAAATATAGATGTGTGTATTATCTCAGTACTTTTAACTTGTATTCTGTTCGAGGTTTTCACTGTGCAAATCAATTGACTAAACATCTAAACTCGTCTTCAGGGAGCATCAAGAAATTTGTATCTCTTCTAATTTTGTGAATTCATGGCTTGATCCTTTCCTTCCCTCCCCTCATTGCTACTAAATTTGAAATTCCATCCACAAGCTTCAAGTGTTCCTAGCTGTTTGAGTTTGTATTGCCTTTTATTTTAATGGTCTTCTGACAATCTCTCAAGTTCCCAATTTACAGAAACTGTTTCCTTTGAAATGATACAGCTACACAGTGACAAAGCTTAAGTATAGAACCTGAGAATACAGAACTGTTTTTCCTTGGTTTTCCTTGTCTTCTGTAGATGGGTTCAGTGCTGACAGAGTTGTTTTGGCTTTTTTTTTCCCAATTTGGCTTTATTTTAAAACCTGTTTTTCCTACAAAATTTTGGTCAGCTCCATTTAAATAGGATGTGGTTATACTATGATAAATCCATTCCAAAAGCACACATCTTTTAGTAGATTAAGTTTTTAAAATGTAGAAGTTTTGACTATTTTACTGTATTATTGGCCTGATTTTTTCTTATAGTAATAGCACTATTTTATCTGTTTCTTCATGTTAGAACATTATGAAAAAGCAAAGCTGTTTTTATTTCTTCTCACAGTTCAGATGGATAGTGTTACCAAATGTATCTTATATATCGTAATGAAACCTATTTTAAGTATTTATTGAAGACAGGTTTCTGAGCTAGAGAAATACTTTTATTTTGTTCACTGGAAGAGACTTCCCGCAGGTTGGAGCTGTTCAATCAATACCAGTGGGACTCTCTCTGCCAGCTGAATACTGGTTAGGCAAGTTAAACAACACCCTTAAAATTGGGTGGGGACCATCTCTGGTTTCATGTCCTTGTCATGTTCAGGTTCTGCTGTGCTTTTTTTTTCTCTGTCCTCAGTGGAGAAAGAATCAGGTTAGGGAACACTTAAGTAACTTGTAAGTCCATGGGGCTTGACAGGATGCTTCCATGGCTGCAGAGTGTTCCATTCTTCCATGAGGACTGATGTTGTTGCAAAGCTATTCCTTATTGTCTTTGAGAGGTCTAATGGTCATTGGGAGGGGTTCTTGAGTAAGAGAAGAGAGCAAATACTAATTTTGTCATCAGTAAGGATGAGAAGGAGAATCCTGGGAGCCACGGACCAGTCAGCCTCACTTCAGGCCCTGGAAAGGTTGTAAACCAGCTGATCCTGGAAACTTGTTTCCAAACATGAAGCACAGGAAGGTGAGTGAGAGCAGTCAGAATGGCTTTATGAAGGGGAAATCACACTTCAGCAAGCTAATAACCCTTTGTAATGGGGTGGCTAGCTTGGTGGATGATCAGAGAGCAATGGATGGTGTTTAGCTTGACCTCAGTAAGGCTTTTGACATTGTCATCTATGGCATCGTCATGGAAAAGGTGGCAAGTATGTGTGGAGAAGTGAGCAGTGAGGTGTATCAAGAGCTATCTGAATGGTCAGGCACAGTCCTCAGGGATGCAGTCAGTGGCACAAAGGCCATTCCAAAGAAGCTGTTACTGTACCCCGGGTTCAGTACTGGAGCCCCTGCTATTGAACATCTTCATTTAAGTCCTGGGGTGGGGCATAGTTCACCCTCAGCAAGTTTGCAGATCATGTAAGATATGGTGAACTGGCTGATACACACATTTGATGTTTAGTCTGTGGAAAGGTATGGGTAGAGGATCCTCATGAAACAAAGGGAAAGTGTGAATTTTCTGGAATAGCAGCTGCATATGCCAGCTACAGAGAAGGACCTGGGGGTCCTGTTGAACAGCAAGGCAACCATGAGCCAGCAATGTGTCCCTGTAACAAGCAAAGTAAAAAATATCACTGGGTGACATTAGATAGAATGTTGCCAGCTGGTTGAGGGGAGTTCAGCTTTGTCCTGTATGCAGCCTTGGTGAGGCCACGTGTGGAGGACTGTGTCACCCTTCCAGGATGTGTAGTACTGTTTCAGGGTCCCTAATACAAGAAAGGGTGAGACTTGGTGGAGAGAGTTCAGTAAAGGACCACAAAGATGGGAAGGAGACCCCAGTATCTTTCCAATGGGCACAGGCTGATACTTGGTTTAAACTTCTAGGGAGGTAAAAGTTGGCTGTTAGTCTTGGTTTGAAGTTTAGGGAAATACAAGTTGGCCATTAGTCTCTCACAGTTATCTCTGGATATTTTAATTTTTCAGAAGATCCTTTCCAAAGGAATTTTAAATTAGTAATTTAAAAAAAATAATTTTAAATTAGTAAGCCATTAAACTCACTTCTCATGTAGAATTGTGTAAAGGTGCAAATGATGAGGGAGACTTTAGTTTTGTTAGTACTATTGCTGAGACTAGAGACTGTAGGTACAAGAGAACTGAAATCCCAAATGGTTTGATTAAATCTGATTTCTCTGCCCTGCCATCTTGCAATATTTCAGAAGGTGATTTATTTTGCCACGCCATCTATAGGTTCTTGTGTCCACTTACACAATGTAGAGATTGCCTACAGCTCAGTTCTCACAACAGTCACTTTTCCAGTTCCTGTAGAGTGTATTGTGTTCTTCCAGAGATAATCTGTGGCTGTTTTTACTGTTGTGTAAATCTTAGAGACGCTGAGATTTTTTTTTTTTAATGCTGTAAAGGTTGTATGAATACAATTAAAACTAGAAGAAAGTCTGAGTCAAGGATTGTCTTTAAAAGGGACCATGAGTGATCAGGTGAATTATGTTTTTGTGTAACCAGTTTATTCCAGACCTCAGTAGCCTTTGTTTTCATGATATATTCAAGGCCAGATAAAATACTTTTGTAAAGGAATTTGCTATTCTGCTGTGTTGTTGGAAGCAGTGCAGAAGATGTGATATGAGTTTCTACTATGTGAAAGTATTCTGCTTACACTGTAAGTTTTCCAGGGTTTGAGCTGGAGGCATTCTTATTTAAAAAAAAAATCTATTTTTATTTTTAAATTTGTAAAGTTTATTTGTAATTTATTTTTAGTTTAGCTTATTTTTTAGTTTAGCTTATTTTTCATTTTAGTTTTTATTTTAAAGCTTTGTGTGTGCTAACTGTTTCCAGTGTTTTATAGATGCTTGGAATGGGGGAAAAAATAATCTAGGTCTGCCTTCATGTCTTATCCTTTTTCTTCATAACATTCGGCAGCACAGCTGCTTTCTGGTGTAGTGCTGCATTTAAGTGAGATAATGCATACACACAATTCTGTCTGTAGTGATTCTGCAGTTATCCTGTACTGGGTCTGTGGCTGCAGTGTATTCCTATTTTTACTGTCTGGAGTAACAGATGCTTGCTGGAGTTCTGCACTGTGCTTAGCCTGTGGTGCTCTCAGGCATCTCTAGTGGTTGGAAAGCACTGCCACATACTGACAGTCTGCCTGCTGGGTGGGATTGCCCCAGAGTGAAGGGCATGAAATCCATGGCTGACATGACTGTGGTGGCAGCAGTCCCGAATTTGTCAAAAATGGTGTGAGAACGAGCAAGCATTTTTCCCACCTGTCCTCCCCACCCTCCAGTAAATAAATAGAGGAGAAAAAAACTGGTATTAAAATAAACTAATTTGTACAGCAAGAAGTTATATAACTTTATTAAAATGTGACAAATTGTGTTTGTTAAAGCCAAGATGTACTCTATAACACTATTTCAGCTAGTTCGTTTGTCTGGATCTCCTTGATTTGTGTATTTCATGCCTTTGTTTTATATGCGAACTGAGTGGTGGAGGTTTTATTTTACGAACAAACTTTGCTAATGAAACTTGAATGTTAGTAAGTTTGCTTGTCCTAGTAATAGTGAATTAATGGTTGCAGATAAAGTGAAAATTTCTATATTAAGATGAAGTTTGAGGAAGCACTTTGCTAAGGTAATCTAAAAGCTGGCTAATGTGAAAGTTCATGAATAGAAGGGTGTTTTCTGCTTTTGTATTGTATTGAACTTTGTTCATGTCATTGCAGGAAAAAAACCAGAGTTTTACTTTTATTTTGGTTGCAATGGGTGTGTTTTTTACTTAAAAAGTAAGTTTTTAAAACTGTATATTGATTTCAAATAGCAGGGGGGAGAAAAAAAAGTTGTTGGGGAGACATCACTCTTACACGGTTAGCACTGAAAACAGGGAAAAAGTAGATTAACTTTTACAGTGTTACTTTTGTGTAATGCACCATCCTGCATGTTAAACTCTTCAGTTACAATTATTAGGGTCTGATTTGGAAGTGTAATAGAAACCGGCAAGGTTCAAGTATTTGTCTAAGTACTAAAGTTGTTTTAGAATACTGTTCTTCTGATCTTCAGGACCATGAGTCTGTTCACCTTCAATCTACTGTGATTGATACCTTGTGATTTTGGTGGTGTTTTGGAATAATACATCTCCTTTCTTGCTGAAATTTTCTCCTTCAGATGTTCATAGCCACTTTTTAAATACATCTTATGTCTTCATTTTGTGAGGCAAAGTAAGCCAGATAGAAAGTCTAAGGAAACTATGTCGCTGATCACTGAAATAGTTTGTTATTGCACCAAGTAAAATCTTGAATCCCTGTGCTGTTACTCTTAAGTGTGATTTCACTTCTTCTGTGGGAATTTAAAAAAGAAAAATGTGGTAGTGTGGGGAAAATTGATTTCTTCATTTAATTTGGTAAGCAGAAGATAAATCAATGCTACTTGTTTTAGCTTCATTTTTGTTGTTTATGCATGTTTGGGTGTTGACCCTAGGTTTGTTTCTTAGCCTGTGTCCTGAAGTCTTGCCTCCTGATTCATGCAGTTGATTTCTGATTCCCTTTTCATAGTATGTTACTTATTTTTGTAAAATGGAGACGATACATCCATTTTTCTTAGATGTTATGCAGATGACACAAATTTGTTTAGACTGTAGGGTTTCCTGCTGGTTTACAACTGGAGAGAAATAGTTTCTGTCACAAAAGAACCTTGAGTTAATCATAAAAAAAGCACAGCGCAGCCTTTTCACGTGTTGGTTGAGTGTATTTGGTGCAGTGTTCTTATTTCAGCTGCAAATGTGCCTCAAAGTAGATGACTGAGTAATATTTATGACAAATTTCTTTGCTGTACATCATCTGGAACCAGCTGTTCATTATTCCTTGGCAGTTACTGCCTTATTACTGAGGATCATGCTTCACAAAACTATAGAATTAAATATTTTTAAATTGAATATTGGATTAATTACTGCATGCTACTTAAAATTCTTTACAGACTCCTATCAGATCCTATCAGATGTAAAACTTAAGAATAGAGTTTCTTTCTTTGCTCTAAACTATTCTATTACCCACAGCACAGCAACACATGACTTCTATCTAAATGTATGGGCTACAGAAGGCTTTTTTTGCTGAGGTCACTAAGGTCACTACACATTACTTGAATTGGTCACAAGAGGCGATTGCTGAGATGAGACAGTAATTTGACCAGTATGACTGAAGATGTTTAAATGTATTTGAGTGTTAATAGTGTGAGGATAGCGGTATTTCAGTATCTTTTTCTTACCTTTCTAAAATTGTGCAGCTCTGCTTCCACAGCTGAGAGCCTGAGCCAAGTTAGGTTGAAGAATGGCAGATCTGTTCTAATGGGGAATGGTGGTTTAAACAAACATGATAAATTCTGGGCCTGCTCTTTTGTTACCAAGAGAGTTTCTCAAAGTCCTGGAATTGTTTTTTAATCTGTGGTGTTTTCCTCAGTAAGTTTGCTTCTGATAGCTGTATTAATGCTGGGAGTACATCAGCTGCTTTATTAGTATTACTGAACAGCGTTTTTGTGGTGTGTATGCAAGAGAAAAGTTGCTAGTAGATGTATGGTTTCATGTCAGTGTAGTAAAAATTTTATGCTACTGACTTTCATTCTATTAAAATACTTTAAATGTTGTTTTTATTTAATTTAAAAGTAGTAGATACTATGTATCTGAATAAAGGTTGCAAATGCTTTGGTGGACACAGAATGCAGACACATCTCTGACTTTTTGGGATAGCTTAGTTAGGGGACCTGAATAGCAGGGAAAGAAGGTAGAAAGAACCTTTTTAATGTTAGAATGTGTTGGAGAATAATTTGCTAGTTGTTGGTCCAGCTTAAGTTGGAAAACAAGCAAGAAACACACTAGTGTTGGCAACCAAGTTGATCATAAAGGGTTTAAGCATTGTAAATCCTGCTTGTGACAGCAGAGGTGCCTTGCTGATATCCCATTCTTATGTTTTGTGATCTGTTTTCAGTATATCAAAAACACCTTCTTGAGAATGAAGAGTATCCTAGAGCTATCAAATGTGTCAGATCATCTGAACAGAGATCCTGCTTGTAAAAAAATTTTCTTTATATATAAGGCAAACTTGCTGGCAACATCAGAAAGCTAACAGCTATTAAGAATGTTTATGAAACCTGGTAGAATATGGAACTAGCAACTTTAAGCTGGATAGGCTATGTTCTCTAAAGCAGTTTTAAAATATCTTTTCCTGACTTGCCTTTTGTTTCCCAGTTTAATTATGGCTGGGATGTTTGTACCTATTCAAAGTTAGAAAGACGTAATAATGAAAGTACACTCTGTTCCCATGTCTAATTGCTAGGCCAGGCATATGTACAATTAGGTGAAAGAAAATGTTTTCTTGACTTTGGTGTAGAGTATCCACAGGAGTTGTTTTTCATGTTAATGCTTAACTGCAAACTTCGAAGTTTGGTCAGGTAGTGTTCTAGAAATATATCTGTGCTTTCTTCTTGCTGTTTTTAAATTTAAAACTATTTGGAAGAATTAGCCCTAAAAGTTAGTCTTTTATGGGCTTATTGAAACTTACATATATATTCTGTTGCTGACTTTGTGCTCTGAGTATTGTGCAGTTTTGGCCCAGGTCTCTGCCTTTACCATTTAAGTTTATTTCTTTCTAAGAAAAGGGCTGACTCATCTGACTGAGCAGTACTATCAAAAAATTTGTAGAGCTTTTTTAGCTGAGAGCATGAGGAAGACTTGAATCTGCTTCTAGGAAAATTTTTGCATGAAGAAATAGGCAGTCAGTGTCAATGAGCTGGGGGAAAAGATCTTTTTACAAAATACCTTTCCAGTCCTTGGATACTTGATGATCACCCAGTCTTTTGCACTAAGGCTAAAAGGTAAGGATGTTAATGAATTAATAACAAACTCTTCTCGTGGCAGTTGCATAAATAATGTTAGGAAGCTTGAGTAAAAATAATAAATCTATTAAGTTACATTGTTAGTGGATTTGCTGTCCTGGACGTAATAGCTGATGCACCAATAACTTGGTGGTACTTTGTGGAATCTTGATATTCTTTCTCTTATAAACCTAATTTTACTCACTGTTTTTCAGACTGTAAGTCCCTCAGTCTGAAGACTTTGTTGTTGTTGTTGTTTCAGTCTTTCAGTACTGAAAATCTGTCTTGATAATTTCTGAAGATATCATGATTCTTCTCCTTGGAGATGAGAACTGTGTCTAAGTGAAGGGGAATACATTTTTTTTCTTGGTGGAATCTGCTCAGATTTGTTGTTTCTTAATTTAACATCTCTTGGTTCATTTGTAAACAAATGCCCTTTTGTATACTGTTGCTGAATGGGATATATCAGTAAAAATGAACATGGTTCCTTTTAGAAGGAGAAGCCATTTTTGTGATAGTTCATTGACTCCAGAATTTTGTTCATTCATATTTTACTAGTTTGGTATAACTGGAAATACTTAGAAAATTTCTCTGGATTTTTTTTTGTTTTCGGTGTGAGTTGAATGACTTCAGCAGAGTAATTTATAGTTAATTATTTGGGTGAGACATAGCTTTAACCTAGTCTCTACTTAACTGTAATAACTGTATGTCCTACTTTACAGTTTAACTATGGTATTGGAGGGACCCAAAAACTTAAATATGAACTCACTAAAAAGAAACAGCAGCTCAACTAAGTACGGTTTTACACAAAGTGGAATCTGTTAGTTGAATCTAACAAATCTGTTAGACTTCCTTTTAGGAGCTGGAGCAGTCTTGTCTGTTAATAAAAATCTGGCAGCAGCCTGCAACATTCTGGTTCAGACCAGGGAACAACCATAATTATAAGTTACCAAGTTCAGATTCCACATCTCTTACTAATACAGCAGTTATAGATTAAAGTGAACTGTATCTGTGCTCACTAACAGATGTGCACTCTGCTGTGCAGAGATACAGAATTCAAGTTTATTTGGGCCTCCCTGTATAATGCGTGTGGGTGTTTATTATGTTTTCACTAGCTGGATTTCTAGTAGCTTGTATATTATACTTAAAATATTTTTGAGTTGTTGACCATTTTGCAATGACTAACTGCAGAGCATGATTCAGTTGCCCTAGTATAATTCAGGAAGTGTTTCATCCTCTGTGCTACAGTTCAGCTTCAGGTAATATATTTCACATGACCTTGAGTTCTCTTGCTTTTAGAGAAATATTTTCTATCCTGTGAGAAGAATGTTGGGTAGAAAAAGTATTCTTACAACTAAAACTGTTTTAATCATAAACCATTACATTCTGTGGCTCATTTTCAAACTAGAGAATTTTCCTGAGTTTTGACACTCTGGACATGTAGATTCTGTTTCCATTGAAGCTAGAGACATTGTGAGGTTTGTGTTGAGCCCAAGTATCTAGGTTTTTCATAAGGAACTTTCATATAGCTGCTGAGACTAACTATTAGGGATTAATTTTTAAAAATCAGCTTCTAGGAAGCTAGTAAAACAGCTTGTGAAATCCCTTCTAGATAGTACCAGATAGTATTTCAGCAAGCTAATTTTGCCATAGTGTTCTGGATCAGACCTTACATAAAGTACTTAATCCCATTTATAAGAGGATATAAAGCAAGAAGTGTTATATTTTCCTGCTTCCTGTGATATATTTGATATATCACTTTGGTAATAAAAACACAGACTTGATGCTGTGAATGAGATGAGGATATTTAGATTCTAAACCAGGTCTGTGAGGAAAAGAATATGGGAAAACAGAAGGGAAGTGCTGAACAAAAGACAACAAGTGTAATTCCCTTGTAACATAAGTATCTGAAAGGACTAATTTCTTTTCTTTTGACTATAGGGACTTGCTTTGACTATAGGGACTTGCCATGAGGTGCTAAGCATATTTTCATTGATTCGGAGAGACTGGACCTAAATGGCGCAGCATGACTTTGCTCCAGCCTGGCTTAATTTTCCTACTCCACCATCATCAACAAAGGTATGTTTTGTATTGTTCTTTTGAAAAGGCACTTTCATTATTAGGGAAGTCCAAATGTCATAACCTCAATCACAGCAAAAATGCAAATGTCTTCATGAACACTGTGATGACAGGTGACATGGAGAGAAGCACATGCCTGGCCTTGGCAGTGGTTCATTTAAGATTGCCTTCATCAGGTATTTAAAATTAATTCCTGTGTTCCATGCTAGAAGTACCAAGACAGAGCATGTACCTGATGATCTTCCTTCTGATTTTTAATGGTGTCCTGTAAATTTTAAAGGAGTAGTATTCTGTCATCCAAGTGACTAAAACTGTGCTTTATTAGACTTTCTGAAATGGCTCTGCATTTGATGATGGAATGCTTGTTGTTACTGGTGGAGTATGGTGCTTTTGTACTGTTAGGCATTTTCACTCTAGTCCTTTCATTTAGACTACTGTTACATTATATAATGGGACAGCTTGAAAATGGGAATAATAACCTCTTAATTGTTAGAATTTGTAAATTTTCCTGGAAGTCTTGAGTATGTCTTATCTCAGAAATGTTTTTTCCTGGCCTGTCTTTCTACTATTTCTTAATTTGTGCAAATGCAGGAGCAGAGTCAGCACTGGATATTAAAACTCCTGTTGTCTGCTTCCCTATTTGTAGACCTATCTTCATTATAATAGTTTGAATCAATATTTATATCTGCTGCTATGAGAATTGCTTTGGTTTTCTTTATTATATAAGCTTTGTGCAATCTTTCATGTCCATGGAAAATGCTTAGCCCTGAGAAACTTATGGCCATAGGCTTGTGGTATTGTTAAATGCACAGAAAGATGGCAGTGTAAATTGTGTTCCTAATGCTTTGATTCTGTATGTCTACACAAACATAAAGATATTTTTTCAGTCGGGTCATTGAATGTGCTTATTTATATCACTCTGTTTATGTCTTTTTTTACCCTGGCCTAGCTAGATTCTTTGCTTAGTATAATCTGTTTCAGGGAACATAAAGCCTGTCTGTTCTGGGATACATAGTATCTGAAAATCCAAATTAAGAAGCAGTCTCTTCATTTTCATCCTCTATGATTTCTGATGCATTCAGTTTTTTTGATCTGACTTTCGCAATGTCGTATATTTTAAATTGGAAAAGTATTTGGAGCTTAATTTAATATGGTGTCACAATTGCAAAGCAATCTTCATTACATATTTAGAGTCTGCTGTAAGAGCTTTATCTGCATGTTTTATGTGCCAATATAGCAGGATAAAACTAAGTTCCAGAAGTACTCTAGTACCACTACAATATATCTGAGGTTTGGGTTGTATTTGTCACCTCATTTCTGAATTGTGTGAAATTTTGTTGCAAGTGTATTTTTTGGCTCCTGTTCTCTTCCATGATTCTTTGCCTCACGGAGTTTAGTTAGATTTTCTTCTCTTTCAAAAGCTTCATGTTGTATGTTTACTCTGTTGTAATATTTGTGTGTCGTTGTCAGAATGCATCTTACTTCACTGTATTACATGCTCCCTCAATGATGAGCATTCTGTGATACACAGCACATTTGGCTATTAAGTGCTTGAAAAGTCTGTTTGTAGTTCTTAGTTTACAGAATAAGACTTGTGATTCCTCCACAAAAGACAGGTCGCAAATGTTGTGTCCCCTGTCCCCTCTATTTCCTAAAATAGACTTACTTTCTGCTGTATATCAAAAAAGCAGACGAGAACAGCACATCAGAGGGGTGGAGAAGAAGAGGAAGGGATGAGGAAGGCAAGATGTCTCATGTTTCATGCAGAGTGGAGCTGGGATGAGGCTATGATATCAACAACATTTAAACTTGAGAAGTAGAAACTGAGCTCTGCTTGGTCAATTTTTATATTCCTGAAGTGTAATCACTTTCAGGGATTGCATCTGCAGGACCTTGGTTTTCCCCTTGAGCCCTTGGTAGCTGAGATGTTTTTCCTTACGTAGCTCAAGGCTGGCGTTGTAGAAACCTGCTACAGGAAGCTGTGATTGTGAATGAGCTTTTTAATGTGACATACAGATTACGGCTTGATTGAAATCCATCTCATCTGTTGCTGCTGATTTTCTTTTAATAGCAAGCTTTTCTCATCTCTCTGTCAACTACATAGCAAAATACACTTAAATGGGTGTGTATCTGTCACTCATTGGTTTTGTTCAGGTCTGGAACTAGGGTGTTTGTCAGTGCAGTACTGTAGATGGGCAGGTGGAATGGGAAGGTGTAGTGAGTTGTGAAACCGTCTTGGGATATGGACAAAACTTTTAAGAAAGTATTACTGTGAAAAGGGGGCATTGCAGATGGATGAAGTCAATTTTACATGTTCACTTTTACTAATTTTTAAGCAGTTAGGCTTCCTGTATTTCTTAAAATCTATGTTATTTCTATTCCTTTTTCTTGATTGGCTGAACCAAGTCAGATAATTTCTCAACTTAGAGAAGTTGCCAATAAATTTCCTTTTGATTACAAAGCTTAATGTTATCTCTGCCTTGAGAGGCTTCATAGACTGGTACCTCCATCATGTGGGGAAAATGCAAACTGCATGATCTTTGCACACTTCAGAAGTGAGAGATTCATTATAGCATGTACTACTCAAACACAATATAAAAAATGCTGTCAGTCATTCTTTGTGAAAATGTTGATTGTTTTGAAGTTAATACAAAAAAGTGAAAGTTAAATTCCAAAAGCAGCATTGAGAGGTTGTTGTACGTAAATGAACATATGAAGCATCTTCTAAAATTTCACCTAAGATTGGCAGATCTAGCACTTTTGAAATTTTTGGCAGCTTAGTCAAAATCTGTTTAAGGATTTTCTTTCACTTAAATATTTAGATTAAATTGGTATTTTTTGAAGTACTTTTATTTTAATAGTTTTTTGCAGTTTTCTGGTTTTGCTCTCTCCAAGGAAAGTTGGTCAAGTTAGTCACATTCCCAGTTTCAGATGGATAGAGTAGTCTCTGTACATTTGACTTCTGTACAATTTAAAAACACATGCTTTGATTTTTAAATATATACTTATTTGAGTTTGAATTTAAAGCAGTGAGTATTGAACAGCACCTTCAGCTCTACAGGGGCATTTTCCATAGGGCTTGGATATCTCTTTTTTGTGTGTATGATTTCCACTGTGGGGTAGGTGGGAAGAAGGAAGTAACTTTAAAGGTACACCCAGAGAGAAGTTATAAGGAAGATATGGGTTATGTAAGGTGAAATTTTTTAGGTTTTTACGTTTAATCCCTTTAGGTATGAATTGTAGTCAGGATGTGGTTAAGGTTTTAGTTTACTACTTCCTACTGATATATTAAATATTTATTTATTTAAAATTTCTCTAATGTGTGCTTGTAAGAGGAACATTTGCAGTATCTTTGTGAATCTGGACACTTCTGATTCTAGATTTTATTAGTATTTCATAACTACTTGTATTTGCCATTTTAAATTATAATGACAAGATTAATGAACTAGGCTTTATTTGGGTATAGCTGTCTTGGGTGGAAGCGATTCCTTGCTTTCTATGGAATGTACATATGAAGTCTCTGAAAATCCAGATTAAGATCCTAGACTTCTCTTCTGCCTTCCCAGTTGTGATCTTCTGTCCTTTCTTACCTTTTAAATTTTTTTTCTTCTGCTGCAATACATGTAATTTGTGCTCTGTATTGCTGCCAAAACAAAGTAGGCACTTTCTACCTTGTGTCACAGACATGTGACTTAAGGGCTCTTTTGGTGTCCTGGAGCAGAAGATGCAGCTTCCACTTTGTTAGCCTGAGAGATGGTGGCACAGCTCTGAATGTGATGACTGCTACATTGTCTGTCACTCGAAGTTCTTGTAAGAAGGAGTTGTATAGAGCATGAACGATGTGCACATTACAGTTCTGATGATTAAGTTTTGTTACTGATCAGATCTCAGGTCTACCACTTATGTTCCTTTACAGTCATCGCTGAATTTTGAGAAACATTCTGAAAATTTTTCGTGGACAGAGAATCATTATGGAGCAAATCGTGGAAGGCACAATTCTTCAGAGGGATTTGATTCTAGCATTGGAAAACCAAATGGAGGTATAATTTATGGAACACTGTGAATATGTTTACATCATTTCTTTGTAGCACTAGCTAGGAAGGAAGTGCAATGATGATTATAGCTCATCTATGCTACATTCTTTTTCTGCAGTAAAAGAGTGGTAATGGAAAGACACTTCTGGGAGAGGATTGGGTTGGTTAAAGTAATGTGATTCCAGGTGTCTTTCTCTCTTGAGTAGAATGAGAGTGTTGAGTTAATACTCTAGCCAACAGCATATAAATGAGCAGCTGGAAAAAGGGGTTGACTTGTAGCATTGATTGGCTATCTTCTCTCTCTGGCACTGTTTTGTAAGATACTTCCCTGTTGCTTATGCGAGAGAAAACTTGTTTCCTACGCTGCGGTATCCTACTGCATAGAGCTTGTGATTTAACTCTTTTAATAATTCTGCAGAGTAAAACACTCTTTTAAAATGGTTTGTAATTGCATTTCTTTAAAATTTGAAAATCCAAGGGCATTTTGGGCGAAAAGAGAGGAATGGTTGGCGTTCACAAGGAAGAAATGGTCCAGAAAATAGAAGCCATCGTGGAGGGTACCATGGTGGAGGTTGCCGTACTCGTAGCAGCACCTTTTATTGTGGAAAAGGCCAGAGACTGCATGAAAACAGTGTACCTGATAATGAAACCCGCAAAAAGGAAGACAAAGAAATACCTAACCAGTTTGAGGCTGAGGATTTTGTAAGTAAATTGTAATAACAATTCAAAATTTTGTCTGCAAGTACCATTTTGTCCATTACAAGTCACTTAATCAGATTTCATCAGTTTCAAATCATCATACAAGGAATTTTCCATAGTTTAGGGAGTATTAGTAGTTTGTCCATTAACTTGTTTCTCATTTTATATCCAGATTATGTCACTATATGCTTATTATTGTGACTTGTGTATTTAAGTGAAACTAGAGTTGGATTCTGGTCTGCTGTGGTATATGTATGTATTAAATTCTCCGCAGTTACCTTATTGGAATCTGAAATAGTAACAAAGTTACTTCATGCATGTTACCTTCTGCAATCCCGTGCTTCAACCTCCAATTAGGATGTGAGGGGAAGGGTGATCTTACTCTTTGAAGAAGCACACATTGCTGCTTTTTGCTTTCTCTGGGCAGTTCATGTAATGACTTCGGCTACTGCCTGAGATATTTTGTTGGAGAAGAGAAACAAGTTAGCATTCAACTTTTTGGTTCATGGGGGAAGTGTTTAGTATGTCAGCAGAGGTCATGCTGCTGGTGTTGTGATTCTTCATTTCATTTATCCTACAATTCAAGAGTTACTTTTTTAATAATGACAAAACTTATTTTCAGCCATCTTTAAACCCTGAATATGAAAGGGATCCAAACCAGAATAAATCTCTAGCTGCAGGTGTGTGGGGTGAGTATTTTTAATGTTTTTAAATGCAAAAATGTAGCAGAGATCTGAAGGTGTTTTATTTGAACCACAAGCCCCTTTTTAGAATTATAAAGGTACAGATTGACAAGACTTCGATATTATTACAATGGAGATATCTTTTTCTTAAAGGGTAATGCTTCTGTATGAGTATCACTCAGCTAGTCTGTAGATGCAGCTGCAACTAGTATTCTTTCCCAGTACAAGTATATATCTTGTTTCATAAAGATGTCAAGAAATCTTCACCTTTATTTTCAAGAGGAAGTGCAATGAAAGTTGGTCGTCTAAATTAGTGGTATTGATTGTTAGCTGAAAGCTTTGTAAAATAGTGGTTCTGACTGATTAGATGTGTTGGAAGAATTTGGAAAGAAACCTGGGAGAGCTGGAAGAGTAGGTTAGTTTGCAGAGATTTAAGGTCTCCTTCTGGAAGCAAATGTCTTATGCTGTTGGTTGTGTTTGTGTATTTGTATGGCAAATACTATCCTGAGCATGGTCACTGAGCTGACCTGTAGTCAGGATTGTTTTCTCATCCTCACCTAATTATGTTTGGCTATCACTTTACAATTCTAATGGACTTTATGTAGTAAATTTTTTACCCCGAAGAAAGGGGGTAGCTTTAGATGAGGGGGTTTTTAAAGTAATAAATGTACTCAAAACAAGAACATTTCTCTTTATTTAAAAATAATTAAACATGAAAATTTTTACTTGTCTACTTTAACTACTGCTAATACTGAGATTTTAAAAGTATTTTAATATGCTGATTCTTTTTCTCATACTTAACCAGTATTTTTTACATGCTAAAGTAACGTTAGGTAACCCCTCAATATAAATATCTAATTGCTGTAAACCTTTGCATCATCATAAATAACTGGACAGATTTCTAGTTTTGTGTTGTTAGCAGCTTTCATGTGATAATCTATCTTTCAATAAAAGAATCTTGTTTTGGAATTGAGAAGTGGGAATTAAGGCTCTTATTATTCCCTTTAGAAGGAAACAATATTCAGGACAGAGGAATGTTATAATCCCTTCTAATATCTGTTAAAAATGTAGGCCTCTCTTAGATTCCATTTTACTTTGTGTAAATGTGATGGGAGCCTGTGAGTATTATGAAAAGTCTTGTCATGAGGTTTAATAAGAACGAAGCTTAGAATTATGATAACTATTTTGTAGCATCTATCTGCTAAACAAAGTCATGTATGCTTTTAAGATAGGGTTTGTTGGTTTGTTTTAAACAGAGGATGTAGTGACTATGTGAAGTAGAATTGCTTGCAGGGCGAGAAGATAATCCTTGAAAAGGTTCTTAACAGAATGCTGGAATGCATGTACACAAACCACAGTTTTTCACTTTTTGACAATTTAAAAACTGTTTTTAATAGATTTTTAATAGATAACTGTTTTTAGTTCCTTAACACTGCTAAATGGCAGTTTCTCTAGTTTGATAGCTTACTGTGTGTCTCCTGATTTGTGCTCTAATGAACATGGAAAATTTCATCATGTTATGTCCATCTGAAGCATGGAGCTAGAGAAACTGGTCATTGCTATGGTCTAATGTGTAGTGCACATCTTGTCTTGTGTTTATAGAACCTCAGTGCAGAGCTCTAAACTGAGCTGTTAATAAATATATAACTAATCATTCTTTAGGAAATCTTAAGGGGAATATGAAAGTCATAATCTCTTTTGAAGTTTGGGTAACTATCAACAACTAGCAGTATCTTGATTTTGGAATTGCTATGCAGCAGTCTCTGTGTAGCAGACTGCTTTGAAGAATATATTTTCTTTCAAAAAGTGCAATTCCTGCATCTCCAATTGAAATACTTTTGAAATTATGATTCTAGAAAATGGAGCAGAACCTGTGTTTTTCCAGGTTTGCACATTGTTGTTTGTGAAACTAATACTGATTTAAGTTTCTGATTTATGCCTGTTTGCTCTGGATCATATGGCTGTCCAATACCTTACGAACTAAAAACTAGCTAGACTGTGTACACAGGCACATACACACACACACACACACACATATCTATATACATACACACTTCTTTTTTTCTTCCAGAGTACCCTTTAAATCCTAAAGCTAGGTCTCAGAGAATGCTGGTCATTAAAAAGGGCAGTACAAAAGACCTGCGAATATCTGGATTCCCAGTAGTGGGAAGTCTTCGCTCACAGCCAGTAAGGAACGGAACTGGCACAAGTGTTTATAAAGGATTAGTTCCCAAACCTGTCACTCCACCTGCAAAGGTGAGTATTGGATACCAGTGTTATGAAAAACATGCCTAGAAAAATCCTGCTGTAGTTCTGAATGTACTTATTTCATCCCTGAGAACACCGTTCCTAGATTATCATGTATTCAACACTTGCAAAATGCAACACACCCCAAAAATGGATAGAAACAACTTTTTTGCATTTTTCTTTTAAAATTATAATTTAGTCTCTTTGCTTCTCATCTGCTGCTTTTGAGAAGTGCTGCAGCTGTACAAGCAAGAGCAAAAGTGGTGTTTTTAACTTATGGAATAGTAGTCCCTTTTGATTTTGACAGAACAAAATTAGGTATGTAGTGGAGAGGTATAGTCAGCATAATACCTTCAGAATTTATCCCAGTAATAGGCAGAGATGATGTTATAACCTATTAGTATAATTCTGGTCTCTTTCCAAATGCAACTTTCCATGTGCATAATCACAGAATATTATGAGTTGGAAGGGACCCACAAGAATCATCAAGTCCAGCTCTTATGTTAATAGTCCATATTCTATGAAGTCATATCGAAGTCATGGGACTTCAAACCCACGACCCTGGCATTATTAGCACCAGGCTCTAACAAGTTGAGCTATTCTCACTGGCTTCATCTCTATTTTTTTGTTTCTGGAATTTTTCTGTGCTCTTGAGAGCATATGATGGATTAATTCTTAACATGTAACATTTTGAATCTAAAATAATACTTTCAGCTGTTGAAGTCCTATATTTCATTTTCAATACCTCAAATATGAGGATCTTAATTGTTTTGAAGTTTTTGTTTTTATATAAACAGCATGAACAATATTTATGAGCAGATGAATTGCTCATAAACAGCCTCTTTTCCAAAAGAAAACAGATGTTTGCACTACATCAAGATAGCAGTTAGGATTTGCTTTTGCTTAATCATTTTTCTGAAGATTTTTGAAGAGAATCCTTTTGTAGTTAATGACTCTACGTCTCTGTTTATATTTCTGTCTAGCCCACACAGTGGAAAAGCCAAGTAAAAGAAAATAAACTTGGGAATGCATTTGCTCGTGAGTCTGAATATGGTGTTGGCAATTTCAGTCCTTTCAAATCAACCATCAAGGCACTTGTAACTCAGAATTCAGCGAAAGAGGTAAATCAGTGGCTGTAGTTACATCTATTAATAATTTAATTTATTTAAGTGAGGATGGTCACTAAATTTTATGCAGAACTGTATTAAATATGTTTTTTTAGAACTTAATGTGCGAGAAAGATGGAAGGCACATCAGTGGCCTTGAAGTACTGCACAGTTTCCTTTGTAGGTTTGATTTTAAATACAGCCTGATACATTTAGACTTCAAAACTGCTAAAGGTATTAGATGTTTCAGAAGGCCCACTGTTCATTAGCAGTGCTCCATTAACCTGCATCTCTGTGTTTATATCTACAAACTGTATATACCAAAATACAGAACTTCCCTCTGCTTTTGGCTGTGAAACCTAGAACAAGAGATAACTGTGTCTTTAATCAAAATTTTTCTAAATGAAAACACTTCTAACATTCTTTCTTTTTCTGACTTCCTAACTAGTGTAATCGGTCAAATTCTTCATCACCTGTTGACAAATCTGGTCAGCCTCATTTAACAAAATTGACAAGAATGCGGTCTGATAAGAAGAGTGAATTTCTGAAAGCATTGAAAAGAGATAGAGTGAAAGAGGGACACGAAGATGAGAATCATGATGGGCAAGAGAAGGTAATTTTGTTCATACTTACGTGGTTACTGCACTAGAGAGAGAGAGAGAAAGAGAGAGAAAGCGAGGACAGCAACACACACGGGCCTCTTTAGGGAAAGAATACCGTCTTTATTGAGGATGACTTATACTTAAAGCATGTTCTGCAGAGCTTAGACAAGACAGTAGCTCACTGGATAATTGGGAAAAATGTCCATGGGACAGTACTTCAGAATGGGTCCCACAGTCCACATCAGGTGCTAATCTCTATTATGAATTCCGTTCTGTTTTGACCAGATTATCATCCTGGGAGAAATTTTCCCTAACTGAAGTTGAACAAGCTTATCAGCCTGGGAATGGAACTGAGAGAGCAGGAGAAGCTACAACCTGGGAATGATTTTCCAGGCTGTAATTTTCGTAGCTCTCTAACAGTGTGTCCACAATACTTACTGTAGATCCAGTAGATTTCAGACAAACTATAAATTACTTTTTATTTTGCTGTAAACAGCTGTTAAGTAATGGTTTTGGATCTCTAAATGAAGGAAAGGAATTACCTTTTGATGAATTTAAAAATACTGTTTCAAGTACTACTCTTCCTCCAGTGCTACTTTGTAGTTTCTTTTTGTCTTTCTGCAGTATCTGTTAGTACATGTTCATGACAGGTATTTGTGTATCTTTAGAAACAATAAAAAGGATAAATTAGGCTTAGTGAACTAACCTAATCATAGATGAACTTATGTTGGAAAAGACCTTTGAGATCATCAAATCCAACCATTAACTCAGTACTGTCAAGTCTGCAAGTAAACCATGTATTCAAGTATCACATTTACATGTCTTTTTAAATACCTCCAAACCACTTCCCTGGGCAGCCAGTTCCAGTGCTTGACTGCCCTTCCTGTGAAGAAAGTCTTCCTAATGTCTAACCTGAATCTCCCCTGGCACAACTTGAGGCCATTTCTTGTTTGCTGTCAGTGTTGGCCAACCCCTACCTGGGCACAATCTCCTATTGGGCAGTTGTGGGGAGTGATAATGTCTCCCCTGAGCCTCCTTTTCTCTGGGATAAACACCCCCAGCTCCCTCAGCTGCTCCTCACAGCACTGGTGCTCCAGACCCTGCCCCAGCTCCGTTCCCTTCTCTGCACTCACTCCAGCCCCTCAGGGTCTTTCTTGCAGGGAGGGCCCAGAACTGGACACAGCACTCGAGGTGTGGCCTCAGCAGTGCCCAGCACAGGGGGACAATCCCTGCCCTGCTCCTGCTGGCCACACTATTGCTGATCCAGCCCACGATGCCATTGGCCTTCTTGGCCACCTGGGCACACCCTGGCTCATGGTCAGTCACTGTCACCAGCACCCCCAGCTCCTTTCCAGCCACTCTGTGCCAGCCTGTGGCACTGCCTGGGCTTGTTGTGACCCAAGGGCAGGACCTGGCACTTGGCCTTGTTGAACCTCACACCATTGGCCTCAGCCATGATCCAGCCTGTCCAGATCCCTCTGCAGAGTCTTCCTGCCCTCCAGCAGATCAGAATTCCCACCCATTTTGCTGTCACCTGCAAACTGACAGAGATGCACTTGTCAAATAATTGATTAAGATACTAAACAGAAATTCTCTCAGTAGTAAGCCCTGGGGAACTCCACCCATGACCAGCCCCCAGCTCAATAGAACTCCACTCATCACCACCCTCTGGGCTTAGATATCCAGGCAGTTTTTACCCAGTGAAGAGTGCAGCTGTCCGAGCCATGGACTGCCAGCTTCTGCAGGGAATTCTCTGGAAAACTGTGTCAAAGAAAGGCTTTATTGAAGTTCAAGCAGAAAACATCTACAACCTTTTCCTCATCCAGATTGCAGATTGCCTGGTCATAGAAGGAGATTAGTTGGCCAAGCAGGACCTGTCTTTCCCAAAGCTATTCTGGCTGGGCCTGATCCTCTGGTTGTCCTTCAGGTGCCATGTGATGGCACTCACAGTGATCTGCCCTGTGACCTTCCTTGGTACCATGGCCAGTCTGAGAGGCCTGTAGTTCGCTGGAACCTCCTTCCAACCCCATTTGCAAATGGGTGTCACATTTGCCAACCTCCAGTTGCCTGGGACTCTGGTAATCCAGGACTGCTGGTAAATGATGGAAAGTGGCTCAGTGAGGTGCCAGCTCCCTCTATACTCTTGTGTGAATCCCACCTGGCCCCAGTAGACTTGTGGAAGGCAGTGTTTTGTACCTTGGCTGCTAGTTATCCTACAAAACAAAAAAGTTGGTTCTGCTTCTCAAACAGTTTCCTTTCTAATTAGTGATTAAGTAGCCAGTTCTCTATTCTTCTAATCATAGGGGCAATAGCTCAATATATGTATAAACCACTGGTTTTTTACTAATGGAGAACTTGAAGGCCTATAATGGCTGTGTATATAATATTTATCAGGTTTCTTTCAGTCTGAATTGATTTATACAATGCTTGATTGATACTAGAGACTGTGTCAAATGCTACCAGCCACCAAGTTATACATAGGTCAAGTGAAGGTAAGTATTTTGTTATTCAGAATGAGAGGATTACAAGCTTGTTTTTTGTAAATGAGTGGTTTAAAATGTCTCATTGAAACAGAAAAATCTCATAAATTACAAATCAGACAGATAAACAAGTGATTTTGATGAAGAGATACTGGGCTTCTGAGATATTAAAAAGGAAACTGCCTTTTAAAAAGGAAAAGCATACATTGCTCATAAAAGTCAGATTGACTTTTCTGACCTTGATCCCATTTCAGGCAAAATGCAATTTGCTGTAATGGGGCTGTATAACATAGCTGTAGGTGTAAACTAAGAAAGGGCTACGTATTTTTATTAGGTATTCTGTGACTGAGTGCTCTGAGATGGATATTAGGGGTAGCTTTGTTCATGTGTTCAGGAAATACACAAGGATTTTGATTTAAGATTAGAAAGATTTTAGGAACCATCTAGAGATTCAGAATTATGAAATAATGAGGCAAATCATACTCAGCAGCTGCGTCACACTTAGAAGAAGCTGTTTTGCCTTATATATTAGAATTTCTTAATACATTTATAAAATTTTCTTGGTATTATATGACATATTCTTCAGGCATGTAACAGCTGAATGTATGTTTACTGGAATATGAGTTCTTAATAGTATCTTGCTGACTACTCTAAAATTTCTGAAAGCAGACAACGTGTGAGTGGGAGGGAAGTGATTATGGTCTTGATTCTTGTGCTCTGAAGTATAATTTCTTACAGTTGCAGAAGACTGCATTATGTCCTCCTGCTATAGGTAATGCTTTTACATGCCCAATTCAGGAGTTCTGTTGATGAAAAAGTGTTAACTAGATAATGATTGTATGCTTCTTTATTTTTACAGTTGGTAAGACTTCTGAGGCTTTCTAATTCATAAATAAGAATTACAGGTTGCTGAATGAGTAGAGTAGAAGGAAATACCTCATGTTTATAGGCTAAAGACCTTTTAATCTTTGAGTGAACCTGAACAGTCAGCCTTCTAAATAAATTTTCTTCCTGATATGTATTTCATGGCTAGTAATTTCCAGTTTCCATTCATAACAGCCTGAGAAGCTGGGGTTGAGTGCATGCGTGTAACTAAACTTGTCTGAATTTAAGGAGCACTATGCAGTCTTTCTGAATTTGTGGCAGAGAATTTGCTATTTGAGATATTGGTGTTGTGACCTGTCCCTTAGACTAAGTAAACTTGAAAACTCATACTTTCAGACTTCTCTTGCCACATAGAGCTCTGATATTTAATTAGGAACATTAAAAATTCACCAGCCCATTATTTCTGTAAATATGAGGGACAGCTAAAGTACATTTGAAGTTTAAGATACGTGTGAAACTTTGTGGAAAAAAAAGTGGGGAAAAGCATGTGAGTTGCTTTCTGCATTACTTAATCAGTAGTGTATCTGAGGAGTTCTATAGTATGCAGGGATTGCAAAGGCCAGAGGGGTGAACAGAATTACCTGTGAAGTACAGAGCCTCTCCATTTAAACTTAATTTAAACTAAACAGAACTATTGAATTGCAGCACTTCTGGATATTTACTTGTGGATGGAATTCACTTTTATATTTTATAATGTAAAATTACTTTTATATTTAGGATGATGAGTCCTTCAGCTTGCATAACAGCATCAGTCCTCATCGTGAGAGAGATATAAACCGAAACTTTGAAAATGAGCTTCCACAGGAGAATGGCAATGCCTCAATTACACCTCAGCAGATCATTCAGTCTTCAGCTTTCCCTCAGGCAAATGTTCTTTCAAGTTCACTTGAGGCAGAGCATAGGTATGTACTTTATATAACAGAGTGTTCCTTCATGTTAACTGTTCATGTTCATAAATTCTTACTAATTCAGAAGTCAGAATCTGAAAACTGAGAGCACATAAAATGTTTCTTGAGTAATGTCAAATTTATCTGTTAAATTTGTACTAATTTAGCTTGAGATATACTTCGTTTCTTAGACCTGTGTACTGACTTACATCCATTTTTTAGTAAAGAAAGTTTATTTCTTAATAAAGAATATAGCAAACTACATAGTGACTTCATCCCTCTGAACTATGCATGTAATTGCTGTTTCTATTAATAATATTTTAAATGCTGCATCTTATGTAAAACTCCACTGAGCTTTTCATCATTATTAAAGTAGTTAATTATTTTTGTTGCTGACTTCTTGACGCTATTGTGATATCACAAGACATTCCGCTGGAAGGTGAGAAAGTAATTTCATGAAAAGGATTGAAACAGTTCTATTCCCTAGTAAAGCAACTGCAGTAGCAGTTGGTAGATAGGAGAATGATGCTGCTGGAAAATCACAGCTAGGTATGGAAATGAGCTAGTCGTGAGTTCTGTCAGATTCTTATGACTTCTGGTAACTACAGAATTGCAGTGATAGATTAGATAGTTTTTTTGGGGGGTTTTTTTTTGTTTTTTTTGGGGTTTTTTTGGTTTTTTTTTTTTTTTGTTATAAAGTCCATGCATTAGACTAGACAACTCTTCATTTTGTAGTGCCTGTAGAAGAAACTTTCATTTCCTTTTGCTCCTCATGAGTATGAAGAGTACAAAGCACCCTGCTGTCTTCCTTTTTTCCCACTATTGGCTTTGGAAACAGAAAGCATTGGCCTAGTCTTGGAGTAGCAACATCACTGCCATAAGTGACACCGGGTGTGATGAGTTCTGTCACTGGAGTGTTGCAGATGGTGGCAGACTCGTCAGGAGGTGTGGACAGCAGGAGAGATGGGGGAGTGCTGGTGTATCTAATGGATGGTGTAGAATATATGGAGCTTGCAGCTGGTGATGGAATGGTTAAGGGCCTCTGGATAAGGATTAAGGAGCAAACAAAAAAAGAGATATCATTGTTGGAGTGCACTGTAGGCTGCCACACAGCATGATGACACTGACAGTCCTTTGAGGAACTAAGGAACACCTCAAAATCAACTGCTGCTGTCCTAATGGGGGACTTCAACTTGCCAGATATTAACTTGGAATACCACAGACATGTGAAGACTACAGAAATGCTGCTTGCCATTGTTGGGAGAAAATCTGTGACGTTCAGAAAGAGAGAATGTTCTTCATCCAGAGGATAGTTGGGCATTGTAACAGGATTCTGAGGGAAGTGATCACAACACCAAGCCTGAGAGTTCAAGAAGTCTTCGGGCAGCATTCTCAGTCACAGGGTGTAATTCTTGGGGTTCTGTGCAGGGCCAGGAGCTGGATGCTGCATTCCTTGTGGGTCCCTTCTAACTCAGGATATTCTGGGAGTCTGTGAAATCTTTAGCCACTAGAGGCTTGTGATTTTCTGACTTGAAGATGGGAGTCAAATCTGACTCTTAGTTTTTCAATTCAAATTACTTTAAACAGCCTTGTTTAGGATTTCTGGGCAATTGTCTTTTTTTGTGGTATCCCAGAGAGGCTGTCTGTCCATACTGCCTCAGCCCTTTGGCTGTGAGCTCAACATGCTTTTGGACAGATGTTATGGTTAGCCTTTTTGTGGTAAATTGTACTTTGGGTCGCCAGCTTAGCTCCCAGGTTACTTTTGCATACGTAGTAACAGTATTGGCACATTTGGTACAAAAAGGCTTCCTTCTTGCTAGGGAAGTTTCCAACCTGCAGCAATCCTGTTGGTATCAAGTTTGCTAATCCAAAGTAATTTTTTTTATGTAGTTCACACTTTTAACCGTTCTAGAATTGTATCAACTTAAAGGGACAGTGGTGCTGCTAACATTACAAAATGTTGCTTTAAAGTTAGTTAGCCATTACCCTAAATTTTACTTGCATTAACAGAGCCTCTGTAACTGTTTACTTCACTGAATGCAGTGTTAATGTCTGAGCTTGCTTGCAGTAAAACTTTTAAACTCAACTAACTATCATTGAACTGCATTTGGAAATATGTTTTTCTATACAATGTATTCTCTTAGAGTTTTGTATGATTTGTATATACTTCTACCATATCCTGATGATTTCATTGTTCCTGCCTGTTATGCTTTCCAATTTGGTCCAAATGCAACAGGGGGTGCAATTTCCATTTCTGTTAACTGTCCTACTGACTTTTTTTTTTCAAGCAGAGTAGTACTTTTCTCCTTCTACAATTCCAGGTTTTTGTTACGGTTTTAAAATCAGTCATTGGTGGCTTTGGTTACCTGCAAACTTGCCCCATGCACATCTACTGTGTTGGGATGTAGAGCTCTTTGTGGGGAGGGTTGTGTTGAAGGGCATTTTTTGCTGATATCTGCCTAAATGAAGTCCCTGGTATATGGTATCAGATGTGAGTTTGTCTTAATTCCTTATTTTAATATACTCACTACTTTTTAGCTCTTAAATGTCAGCTGTGGCATACATTTTAGAAACCTCTTTATTTTTTGTGAAATAGCTTTAGTCTGCTTTAATGTTTGAGGTCAACAGATACCTGTTTTGCCTGAAGAAGGTGATAATCCTTTTGGCAAAAACTTTGCAGCAAGCAAACTTAATAACTTCATTGTTAAATGTCATGGTGTCTTCACCCTCAGATAATCCCTGTTTTCACAGCATCTTCAAATGTAAAACCACTTTCTTCTTGTTTAGATACTGCCATCCTTCTTTTGGAGCTAAGCAAAACACAATGATTATCGCATCTTTGTATATCTTAAGCTTAGTTATGAGAGGAGTTTTTCTTCTCTTCATTTCTTCCCCTTATTCCAAAATTCTCTCCTAGCTTTTTGAGCTGAAATACCAGCGTGTGCTGTTAGCTGAGATTGAATTGTGAAGAATCCTGACACAGCTCTTGACATTAACATGTGGTATAAAGAAGAAATCACATGAGACTTTTGCATCCTGGATTGGTTTCCATCAGGGACACCACCGATATTCCTCATTTGCTTTGGTCTGCTTTGTTATTCAGGAAATCCTGCCTGGTCCCTCATTGTGTCTTTGTCTCTTCATACTGTTCTCAGGGGAGTACATTGCCACTTCACTAACAGTTGTAAGTTGTGTTAAGAAAAGACATTCTTACTGTTCTGTCTGATACAGATCTCTTGCCTTACAATGAAGGTATAGTTTTCACCACATGTAGTGGTAGAATAGGGCATTTTTGAGGGACCTGAGAACTCAGCTTCTGTGCTTTTACAAGACTTTGAGCTCACACTTACGTAAGAGTGTGTTTAAAAAATATACTGGGTGATCAATCAGTACGTTTTTACAGGTCTTTAGACATGTATGTAGGCAGAGCTTGAAATGTCTGAGTGTGTGTAGCAAATTTCTTAATGTTATCCTTCTTAATTTAAAGGTTGTTAAAGGAGATGGGCTGGCGGGAAGACAGTGAAAATGATGAAACCTGTGCTCCTCTAACTGAGGATGAGATGAGGGAGTTCCAAGTCATTAGTGAACAGGTAAGACTAAGTTAATTTTCCACTATAAACCTGTAGTTAGTTACCATAGATGCCTGCCTTTGAGGAGGATCTGCAGTAATTTTGACCATTAGGGATGTTGCTATTCCACTACGATTTCAGTACTGTGCTTTTGGAAGTATAGTTGCTTCCAAAACACAGGATATCAATGATGGCTGTAGCTCAGGCCTAGTCACAAAGTACCAAGGGAAGGGTAGGCAGTACTTCTGAGTAGTTTCAGTATTGCTGGTGGTAAAAGCGCACAGGCTTTCAAGCTCCTCGGCTTAGACTAAGGAAAAAGAGTCTTCTTTCAAGCTTTTTATGCTGTTTTTCTGCTACTCTGAGAGCTGTGTTTTCTTTTTTGGGAGTTGAGAGATATTTAATTTACTAGTAACAAAGTATGAAAAGGCAATCTTTTTCTGTTTTTTTTTTTTTTTAATTTTATTTTCATTAGGAGTGCTGAGTATACCTGGTAGAGTGAGTGAGAAGGAGTTGGAAAGGAGAATAGTGTGTGGTGCTGAATCTGAACATTTGGTATTTCCATGTGTGTCCAGCCACACAAATACTGAGTAGATAATTTTGAATATTAAACTTTCAAGTGCTTGTCTTAGTGCATGCCTTCTGCATGATACTGGAAATGCAATAATTCCTTCCTTTTTTGCAGAATCAGCTGTATCCTTTCTCTTCAGTATCTTTGACTTTCCAATTGCTGAGATACCCACTCCTCTCTGCAGCATCTCTTCTGGGGTCCCTTCCCTATCGCCCCTTGCCCTTCTTAGGACAGATGTTTGCAGCACTGTAGGAAAGGGGACTGGATTGCAGGGAGAGAGCATTTGGGAGGACGGATCTCAGGGGCAAGATGTGTGGGGACATGGACCAGAACAGGGGGAACTCTCATTGACTGCAGGAATTAGCACAGCTGGACACACTGGGATGTGAGTGAAGGCTCGCAAGGGAGTTAGCCTTTCTGTGTACATATGAAAAGCTCTGGATGCAGTGTAGCCCAGAGGTGAAGATGCAGAGTGTTGAATTGCAACAGAATATTGTGTTTGGCATTTTCTTTCCCTAAATGTGCCATGTTTTCACATTTCAGTTACAAAAAAATGGCCTTCGGAAAAACGGCATTTTGAAAAATAGCCTCATGTGTAATTTTAAATTTAGCCCCTGGAAAAACAGCACTTTCAAACCTGCTCTGGAGAATGAGGACTCTGAGACAAGCAGCAGTGATACATCAGATGACGATGATGTGTGAAGACTTCTGTAACACCTGTAGAAGCCCATTTGTTTTTGTGAAGATTTGGGGATATTTTGTCCAAAAACAAAAATTGTAATTTATGAAGTAACATGCCCACTACAGGAAGAATGATGGGACTTTTCTCTTAACGAAGCAAGGAATGTTTTGTCGGGCGTGTTGAAAAGCACTAGAATTTCTCTGTTAACGAATGTTGTAGGATGAGGCCTTGTGTTGGCCCAGCACTGACTTCCATCACTGAAACCAATGTGACAATGTTACAAATCAGACTTTCTCACTTAATAATAAAAGCAAAGAATTGCATAATGTCTTGCAAAGCTTCTGTCTTAAAATATCTAAGGAAGAACAGGGCAGCTTGACACAACATTTGTTTTGCTTGCCAAGTAATTTCTTTCTTGCAGTGGAAATCAATGAGTCCACTTTGTACGCAAAAAGGGCAATATAGCATGTTGGCTAAAATGAGCAAAGTGCACTAAAACATTTTCCTTAACTGAGTTGTTCTACAAATAACTGCTCTTTAGCCATTTGTAGTGTTGTCGTTGTTATTAATGGCAAAAGATCCTGATGTTACAGTTCCAAATGTATAGAATTAACTTTTAAATTGAAGGCTTTAAGGGGTATAGCAAGATCCTTATTCTCACAGTGACTTGTGGGAAAATAAGCAGTTTGATTTCACTATTCAACATGCAGAAAAATCGTTACACTGACTGGATTTGTCCACTACATGGGAAATTGTTGCATTTCCGAGATGCACTGTAAGTGGTACATTCTGTGACCCCTGCTATGCCCTGTAGCTTGGTCCCTCTCCCCTCCTGACCATACAGGGCTGGCCAAGATCCAATTTCTCCCCGCCCCCCTTTCAGACCCTAGAAAAGACCTGTGCCCCCTGAGCTCGCTCTCTTTTCCCTTGTTCTCTCTCTCTCTTTCCCTTTCTCTTTCCCTTTCTCTTTCCCTTTCTCTTT